GGGGGATTAGTGGAAGATTGGTTGGGGGGAGTGACCATAATGAGATTTTGTAGGTGCATAAGTACTATGCCTTGAACCTGGGTGAGTGGGAAGGCATCAACCTCTTTCCACCACTAGGCTATGCCTTAGAATTATCGGTTCCCATCACATGCCCACGTGCCAAAATTGCTTTTTCAAATGTAAAAAACCAGATAGATTTGTTCATGGTCACATTCAAATCTACTTCTTAATTTTTAGGTGCAAAGCTTTATAATTTTCATTTGTGCAAAAAATACAAGTCGAACTCCGAATGTCACACCTAAATTGTTATTTTATTGATGAAGGAGTGTTATCCTGTTTCACATGAAAATTATCGAGCACACTTGTTACATTAAGGCAAACATCTACATAAACATTCACCTTTTTAGTATTTATTTCAAATTGCCTGTTCATTCAGGAGCATATGCTTCCCAGAGCCAAAACGGCTCTCCCCGAACCGCTGACTATATCTTACCGTCATATCACCTACAACCAATCTAATAGCCAGCAGATAAAACAGTTAGCTACAAATATATACTACTTTAGAATAAGTATAATAAGGTGATATAAGAGTGTTATAAGAGTTGTCACATCGGATTTGTGATGAATTGGAGGAGAGAGAGAATATGAGTGGATGTAAACTTACAACCAGCTACAACACTGAAGGAAATATGCCCTAGAGGCAATAATAAAGTTGTTATTTATATTTCCTTATATCATGATAAATGTTTATTATTCATGCTAGAATTGTATTAACTGGAAACTTAGTACATGTGTGAATACATTGACAAAACAGAGTGTCCCTAGTATGCCTCTACTTGACTAGCTCGTTAATCAAAGATGGTTAAGTTTCCTGACCATAGACATGTGTTGTCATTTGATGAACGGGATCACATCATTAGGAGAATGATGTGATGGACAAGACCCATCTGTTAGCTTAGCATAATGACCGTTTAGTTTTATTGCTATTGCTTTCTTCATGACTTATACATGTTCCTCTGACTATGAGATTATGCAACTCCCGAATACCAGAGGAACACCTTTTGTGCTATCAAACGTCACAACATAACTAGGTGATTATAAACATGCTCTATAGGTGTCTCCGATGGTGTTTGTTGAGTTGGCATAGATCGACATTAGGATTTGTCACTCCGTGTATCGGAGAGGTATCTCTAGGCCCTCTCGGTAATGCACATCACTATGAGCCTTGCAAGCAATGTGACTAATGAGTTAGTTACGGGATGATGCATTACAGAACGAGTAAAGAGACTTGCCGGTGACGAGATTGAACTAGGTATGATGATACCGACGATCGAATCTCGGGCAAGTAACATACCGATGACAAAGGGAACAACGTATGTTGTTATGCGGTTTGACCGATAAAGATCTTCGTAGAATATGTAGGAGCCAATATGAGCATCCAGGTTCCGCTATTGGTTATTGACCGGAGATGTGTCTCGGTCATGTCTACATAGTTCTCGAACCCGTAGGGTCCGCACGCTTAACGTTCGATGACGATTTGTATTATGAGTTATGTGATTTGATGAACCGAAGTTTGTTCGGAGTCCCGGATGAGATCACGGACATGACGAGGAGTCTCAAAATGGTTGAGATGTAAAGATTGATATATTGGAAGGTTATGTTTGGACACCGGAATGGTTTCGGATAGGTTCAAACATTTTCCGGAGTACCGAAGGGTTACCGGAACCCCCCCGGGGAGTTAATGGGCCTTCATGGGCCCTAGTGGAGAGAGGAGGCGGTGGCCAGGCGGAGGTGCGCGCCCCCAATCCCAAACCGAATTGGACTAGGGTTGGGGGGGCCCTCTTCTCCTCCTCCTCTTTCCCCTTCCCCCCTTCTCCGGAAAGGAAAGTAGGGGGCCGAATCCTACTTGGACTGGGAGTCCAAGTAGGACTCCCCCCTTGGCACGCCAGCCCTTGGGCCGGCCACCTCTCCTCCCCTCTTTATATAAGTGGGAGGGAGCACCCCAAAGGCACACCAAGTCTTCTCTTAGCCGTGTGCGGTGCCCTCCTCCACAGTTACATACCTCGATCATAACGTTGTAGTGCTTAGACGAAGCCCTGCGCCGGTAACTTCATCATCACCGTCAAAACGCTGTTGTGCTTTCAAAACTCTTCCTCGTACTCAACTGGATCAAGAGCTCGAGGGACGTCATCGAGCTGAACGTGTGCTGAACACAGAGGTGTCGTATGTTCGGTACTAGGATCGGTTGAATTGCGAAGACGTTCGACTATATCAACCGCGTTACTAAACGTTTCCGCTTCCGGTCTATGAGGGTACGTGGACACACTCTCCCCTCTCATTGCTATGCATCTCCTAGATAGATCTTGCGTGATCGTAGGAATTTTTTTGAAATGCTTGTTGGAAATATGCCCTAGAGGCAATAATAAAATGGTTATTATTATATTTCCTTGTTCATGACAATTGTCTATTGTTCATGCTATAATTGTGTTATCCGGAAACCATAATACATGTGTGAATACATAGACCACAACACGTCCCTAGTGAGCCTCTAGTTGACTAGCTCGTTGATCAAAAGATAGTCATGGTTTCCTGACTATGGACATTAGATGTCATTGATAACGGGATCACATCATTAGGAGAATGATGTGATGGACAAGACCCAATCCTAAGCATAGCTCAAAGATCGTGTAGTTCGTTTGCTAGAGCTTTTCCGAATGTCAAGTATCATTTCCTTAGACCATGAGATTGTGCAACTCCCGGATACCGTAGGAGTGCTTTGGGTATGCCAAACGTCACAACGTAACTGGGTGACTATAAAGGTGCACTACGGGTATCTCCGAAAGTGTCTGTTGGGTTGGCACGAATCGAGACTGGGATTTGTCACTCCGTATGATGGAGAGGTATCTCTGGGCCCACTCGGTAATGCATCATCATAATGAGCTCAATATGTGACCAAGTGGTTGATCACGGGATCATGCATTACGGTACAAGTAAAGTGACTTGCCGGTAACGAGATTGAACGAGGTATTGGGATACCGACGATGGAGTCTCGGGCAAGTAACTTACCGATTGACAAAGGGAATTGTATACGGGATTGATTGAATCCTCGACATCGTGGTTCATCCGATGAGATCATCGAGGAGCATGTGGTAGCCAACATGGGTATCCAGATCCCGCTGTTGGTTATTGGCCGGAGAGTCGTCTCGGTCATGTCTGCGTTTCTCCCGAACCCGTAGGGTCTACACACTTAAGGTTCGGTGATGCTAGGGTTGTAGAGATATTAGTATGCGGTAACCCGAAAGTTGTTTGAAGTCCCGGATGAGATCCCGGACGTCACGAGGAGTTCCGGAATGGTCCGGAGGTGAAGAATTATGTATAGGAATTCCAGTTTCGGCCATCAGGAAAGTTTCGGGGGGTCACCGG